GCGGCGGGAAAGATCGGAACCCTCTCTGTGCCCTGCGCGCTCCGGGCCGGTGAGGCCCCGGCTGCGGCCTGTCCCTGCCGGAAGTGAGGGTACCCCCGGTCCCTGTCCCTGTCCCTTCAGGGCACCCCCCCACCCCCGGCGCCCTTAGTGGTGCCCTGACCCCAGCAGCCGTCGCCCGTCCGAGGGCGAAGAGCACGGAGAGAACCAGCCATGTCGAACGCGTAAGTGATGGGCCCTGGCCTGCTCCCCACCAGCCACGGGTGATGAGCCCCGAAGATGCCATAGCAAGCTATTCCCTTCTCTCCCCTTCCCTTCCCTTTCCTCACTTTCTCTTCTCTCACCTTCTCTTCCCTTCTCTTCTCATACCTTTTCTTCTCTTCTCTGACCTTCTATTCTCCTCTCTTTCCTTATCTTACCTTCTACTCTCCCTCCATTAATCTCCTCTCCCCTTTTTCCTTCTTCCCCTCCCTTCCTTGCTACCTTTTTTGCAAATTCATATATGCCTCAGGATAGAGTACAGCTTCTTGTGGAAGAGGTCTACTGCCCCCTTGAAGATTAGCTCCTTGCCATGACCACTGCTTATGCCCCCTAAGCCCCTGTTGACGTATTCTTGAGGAAGCAGTACATTTGTGTTACCTGCTTTTTTTGCTATTCTTTCACAGTAAAAAGTGGGTTGCTTTGTGAAAACATCTAGGTCCCAATATTTAAGTCAAGGAAGATCTTGAGGCAGATTTACTATCCTACTTTCCTTTTTATCAAGGAACCACAGCTGGTCGTGTACAAGATAGGAAATAATCCATCCCTCTACCATTTAAGAGCCTTTCCACCATGGTTGTCTCATTTGAGCTCCATAATAATCATTTCAAACATGTACTTTATGTATAAATAGTAGAACCTGTGTGGGTGCTGTTCTACATGCTTGAAATAGAATAACTCTTTTAATCTTCACAACAACCCTATAACATAGGTGCTGTTGTATTATTTTTTTTTTTTATTTTACAAATGAGGAAACTTAGTCACTGTCTTAGTCATCTAGTGCTGCTATAACAAATACCACAAGTGGATGCCTTCAACAAACAGAAATTTATTTTCTCACAGTTTAGGAGGCTAAAAGTCCAAATTCAGGGCACTGGCTCGAGGGGAAGGCTTTCTCTCTCTGTCAGCTCTGGAGGAAGGTGCTTGTCTCTTCACTTTCTGCTTCCTGGTTCCTTGGAGATCTCCATGTGCCTTGGCATCAATCTTCCGCAGGTTCTAGGAGGTTGTCAGTGCAGGGACCCCAGGTCCAAAGTACGCTCTCTGCTCCCAGCTCTTCTTTCTTGCTAGTAGTGAGGTCCCTCCCTTCTCTGCTTGCTTCTCTCTCCTTTTATCTCTTGTAAGATAAATGATGTGACTCACACTTGAGTAAGGGTGTGACTTGAGTAAGGGTGTGACTTGACTCAAGTCACACTCTCTTGTAAGGCAATGACTCAAGGTACACCTCCCACTGATCCTGCCTCATTAACATATAGAGATTAGGATTTAGAACACATCACAAAATGGAGGTTAATTACATCAAATCACAAAATGGATGACAACCACACAATACTGGGAGTCATAACCTAGCCTAGTTGACACATGTTTTTTGGGGACAAAATTTAATCCATGACTGTCACAAAGAGACCAAGTAGCTCAGACAGCAAGTAGACGGCGCCAACTCCAGCAGTATGGCTCCAGCTTGCACTCTTACTAATACTAACCTACCTTTCTAGTCAAGTAAGTAGGAGCAGAGAGATTAAGGACTTGCCGAGGTTTTGCAGGTGGTTGTGATCTGGAGTTCAATTTTGGGCATGTTGAGTTTGAAGTGCTTCTTGGATATCAACTAGGCAGTTGAATACTCAAGTCTGGAATTCAGGAGACAGGTCTGTGTATTAAGTATAAATCTGAGACCTGTTGGCATATAGTGGTATTTATGAGACATGGAATGAGTATAGGTAGAAGGGAGAGAAAGGGTCCAAGGATGGAGCCTTGGGCATTCCAGAGGTAAGAGACTGGAGAGAAGAGGAGAAACCAACAGAGGAAACTAAGGAGTGACCAGTGAGGAAGAAGCAAAATCAAGAGAGTGTGGTGCCCTGGAAACCAGGTGAAAAAACAGAGTATTTCTTGGAGGAGGGAGTAGTTGGCTCTGTCAAATGCCACTGAGACAAGTCAGAGGAGAACTGAGAAATGACGTTGGGATTTAGCAAAGTGCAGGCTACTGATGAGCTTGCCAGGAGCTGATTCAGGGAGTGATGGAATAGAAAGTGCAGTGCTCTGAATCACTTTTGTGTGGCCCTTCTCTCCATGGTCTTGTAACTCCCACTCAAAAGATTGGGTGGAACTATGCAAATAAGGTAATTGTGGCCCACCAAGAGGATTGGTCTGCTTTTCCATCCTGCTAAGCTTAAGATGAGCCATCCCAGAGACAAAGAGGAGAGGATATCATCACCGCCAAGGTAGAAGAGCCAGGAGTGGCGTGCATCCTTTGGACCCAGGATCCCTGTGCTGAGAAGCTCCTGGAACCAGGAGACCAACAGAGAGAGAGCTTAACACTGAAGTAAGCAAGAAGTGGTGGCAGAGAAACAGCAGCAGGAGAGACCGGCAGGAGATGGCGCAGTGGGCTTCCCGGCCCACGAAGTGAGAAGGCTGAGTGCCTTTGGGCAGGAGGCTTGCTGGAGGAGTAGGGTGCTTCCAGGCTCTTAGTGGAGCTAGGTTTGCCGACCCTCGAAGCTAGAGCTGAGCGCCTTCGGGCCAAGGCTTACTGGTGGAGTGGGGTGCCTCAGGGCTCTTATTGGTAGAGCTAAAAGAGCTCTGTAGCACTTGCCTGAGCAGGGCAGAGTCCGAGGGCCAGAGAGGCATGCTGGCTGTCCTGATGGAAGAAGTGTATCCTGAGTGTTCCTGAACCTGAATTGTAAACTGTTACTTCCTAATAAACCCCATCATCGTGAGTATAGTCTGTGAGTCCTGTGTGGCCATTGCAATGAATTATTGAACTCAGCAGAGAAGTAGAGAGTGCCATGGGAGGGACGGTTGGTGTCAGAATTGGTAAAGGTGGTGGAGAGAGGAGGCATGTCTGACCTCTACCTCAGAGGAATCAGCCTAGGGCCATTGATCTTGATTCTCCTTACCCCTCATGAAGTTAGAAGGGGTCTGATGACGCTCCTACGCCATTTTTACAAAAGATTGACTAAAGAGGGACTAAACCTAACCAGTAGTCATTGGGTTGATTCTAACTCATGGTGGCCCCGTGTAGACAGTGAGCATAGCTGACTTTTCAGAGGAGTTTTGGTGAAAAGGAAAGGAAATGGAGTGGTAGCTGGTGGTAGGGGAAATGGAGTCAGGAGATGGATTTTTTTAAATATGGGAAAAAAATAGCATGTTTGTTTACTGAAAGTAGTGGCCCAATCGTAAGGAAAGAGAGGATGATTTAGGAGGAGGGAGAGTGGGGTGATGCTGTTCGTAGTGTGACGGCGTGGCACCCAGTGGATTGCTTGAGGTATCGGCTTTCGTTGCAAGAGCTCAGGTAGTTTATCAACGGGCTTGGTGGCAGGGTAGAGTGCATCAGTGAAGATGCTGTTCGCTGGGGATCCTGGTGGGGACCGAGAAAGTCTCAGTTGGCAGATGATGGCAACAGTGAGGGGCAGTGGGGGATACCATCTGATGAAATGAGATTCAGAATTGGGGGTGCTTGAGGGAGAGAGGGAGAATGGTCTGGACGTGACGGTGAGAGCCAGGAGGCCCTTGACCCAGTTCCACACCCAGCACTGTGGGTGCTCAGGGAGAGAAGGAGCCTCTAGTCGAGAGGGCTGTGGGGGGTGGGGTGGGTTTCCCTCAGCAAGAAGGTGGAGGGGATGTTCAGGGAAGAAGATGGGAACCTAGATAATGCTGGGGAATTAGACGTTTGTATCATGCATCAAAGGAGCCCTGGTGGTGCAGTGGTTAAGCACTTGGCTGCTAACCAAAGGGTCAACAGTTCAAACCCACTAGCTGCTCTACAGGAGAAAGATATGGCAGTTTGCTTCTGCCCTATGGGACAGTTCTACTCTGTGCTATAGGGTCGCTATGAGTCGGAATCTGCTGGATGGCAATGGATTTTTGTTTGCTTGTTTGTTTTTTTATGGATCAAGTATAAAGTCACTTGGGAAGAATTCCCACTTTGTAGTATCTGTATTTCCCATTGAGTTGCATGCTCTGTCTGAATGTTCACGACACCCCCACCCCAACCCCCGCCAGCTATAGGAAAACTGCCAAGTGGTAGAAATAATGATCTGTTCTTTTTCAACTGTCATAATCATACATCTCCACCCCCAGTCCTCCTCGCTTCAGAGCTGCAACATCTCTAGGTCCTGTGCTCAAGTCTGAAACCAATCACATATTTTTTTTAAAAATCAAGTCGTCTCATGGATAAAATACTATCTTCTCTTTACAAGGTGCATTTAAAACGTCAAGAACACGTCCACTTCTGTTCTCCCATTCCCACAGTAATCCTCTGCGGTGTCCAGGGTGGGTATTATTATCCGTGTTTGACACTTGAGGAAGCGTAGGCTTAAAGAGGTTAAGTGACCTGCCAGAGACAAGGAAACGAACTGCCGTAGGAGACAGGCCCTGGTTTTCATTTACAGCATTTTTTCCTTTAAAAGGCGTCTTGCTGTGCCCAAGAGAAATGAAAACATACGTCCACACACAACTTTGTACACATAAATGTTCATAGCAGCACTATTCGCAATAGCCCAAAAGTGGAAACAACCCAAATGTCCATCAACAGATAAATGGGTAACGGAGATGTTATATATCTGTACAATGGAATGTTACTCATCCATAAACAAAAGTGACATCATGCTACAACGTGGATGGGCCTTGAAAACTCATGCTGAGTGAAAGAGGCCACTGACAAAGGCCACATATTGTATGATCCCATTTATATGAAATGCCCAGAATAGGCAAATCCGTAGATAGAAAGTAGTTGTTAGGGCCTGGGGGGTAGGGGTGGGAAATGAGGAGTGACTGCTAATGGGCAAGGGATTTCTTTTTGGGATAATGAAAATGTTCTAAAATTGAATAATGGTGATGGTTGCATAATCTTGTGTGTGTATTAAAAACTGCTGAACAGTATGCTTTGAAGGGGTGAATTTTATGGTATGTGAATTGTCTTAGTTACCTAGTGCTGCTATAACAGAAATACCACAAGTGGATGGCTTTAACGAAG